CATACAGATATATGATATATATGATCTTCAATCAGAGCTAATCGGGCCAAACGGACACCGAATTCGAATTCAGCGACCTCAAAAACGTATAGATATATTGGTTTACATTGTCGGCAATTACTCCTCTACATTTGACCTTGAACTAACCTTAACCCAGAGCTAATCGGGACAAACGGACACCAGATTCGGATTCAGCGACCCCAAAAACATATAGATACCAGAGTCTTGTCTTTCGGATATTTCACTTTTTTTTGTGGAGTTGTGTAATCAAAAGATTGTCGTTAATTGCTCTAAAATACTACAAACTAACATTTAGTATGTTTTCTTCAAGTCTTCTTCAGTGACAGGTGATTGTTAATTTTTTTTTATTTAATGATTTTCTGAATCTAACAATAAATAACTTTATTTTTGAGAAAAATTTGTGGGAAAAATAGTAGGCAAAATTTTTCTCTAACAATGAATACATTTAAATCAATAAAGATATGGTATGTATTTATGTCATCAATGTATTTACGCGTTTAAAACGTTGTATGAAATTTTACATTATGAAATCAATAAAAAAGCCGATGCACTGGATAAACACGGTTTTTTTTAATTTCATCATATTAAATTTCAAATAAAAGCGTGAAAGTAAAAACATACTGCTGACACGTTACGTGGTGTCACGTTGTCATAATAATATGCTTTTTACCCTCAATGACATTTGTTTGTCTCTAAGAGAGATTTTATTATTTTTATGATACATTTGACAATTTTGTCACTGAAATAATATGTACGAATATACATACTGGTTTTAAATAAGTAACTATATTTTCAAAAAAATTATTAAAAGTACATATTTTATTTCTAGAGTATAAAAATTAAGTTTAAAGTACACAAGAATAAAAATTATATTTTAAAATATGTAGCAAACACGCTTTTAGTTATTAAGTGTGCATGTATGAAGTGATATTAAGTATTAAGTGATTTTATAAAAAGTAACTCTGGTTACTTAGTAGTGAATTTTGTCTTTACAACACAATAATACACTATTCTTAGTAGTTAAGAAACATTAAAAACAAAAAAATCTGTGTAGGTAAAGTTCCTTTTTCACTGAAGATATCAAAAAATGTTATTGTAAAAAATAGTCCATAATTCAAATTTATGTATATATCCCAAGATTCAAAATACTCGGGTTACTAACTCGGATACTTTTTCATTTGATAAATCACTGAATTGTAAAATTTGACTGTTGTCAAATCCGAATATGGAAATAGATTTTAATTCTAAACAAGTTTTCCCGATTAAAAATGTTTGATATAGTACAAAAAGGCATTTTATCTACATAGAAAATAATTTTTTGTTTCTAACCAGGCCTACTTAATTTTTCCGAAATAAAATTGCGTTAGAAATTATTTTTTAATTAAGCAGATTCGTTCCACAAAATGCTAAATTAACACTAGTTAAGACGATATACCACGTGTCTCATTTTAATCGATACACGCGAATATCTTGTCAGTAAAGACTCCGATCCAAAAATGACCTAAATAAAAGTTGTTCAAATCATTTTGACCTTAATCGTGACCTTGAAGGTCAATTATTGATTGTCAACTTCATAATTTTAAATGGGACCCTCTATTTTTTACTCTGGGAGTGGATTCGGCAGAAAATTTTACATCCGGATGTGATCTCAACTTTGACTTTGAGGTCAAGGTCAATGTCGCAGCGAGTTCACAAGATTTATCACCCCTGAAGCAACCTCGGAATAAAATGAATATTATTTTGGAACGTACTCGAGTGCAGAATTTAACGCTTTTCCAGGATTCAGCCTCAGAAATACAGGTTACCGATATAAAAAGAAACAAAGTCAACCTTGAAATGACATTTACGGTTAAATAAAAGATCACCGATCTGTGGTCTCGAACATCCTTAACAACATTTGTAGAGGTCATCAAGGTCAATTTCTGTAGTCGATCTTCAAATGGCCTTGAAGGTAGAGGTCAAGGTCAAAGCAAGGTCATGGTTGAGTACTTTGATGCAAATCATATCATAATTTTTTGACAAAAAATACTTTTTCATAGTTAGAAAAAAAAGGTTTTTTCTTTTTTTAACTACATCTGTCAACATATTGTATATTAGATTATAGATACACAGATGAATTNAAGAAAAAATAAGCCACTTTTAATTTTCTTTTTTTGTTTATAATTTGCTCCATTTCAGAACAAACCGTCTATAAAACTGTTGAAATTTTTAACACTCCACGAGCCACGACTATCGCGCGAGAAACTTGACACTTTTCAATTTACACTAGCCGTGTTATCATGTCACATTTCACCGCGCAGGCAATACCGTGCGATTGGAGCGTGTCAATTTTTAACAACAAAGTTTTAGAACGCGCGATTGGAACGGGACGCTCCAGTCGCTCACGATTGAGCGTAGGTGTAAAGGTACCTAATGACATGCGGGAAATTGCTGGAATGCTGTAACGCGGAATGCGGGATTGCAAACCCTACTCACGATACACAATGCTACTGACTGCCATAAAAACACGTGTCATACACTCACGGCCAACATCTCAGCAAAAAAAACCTGGATTGTTCACCGGCACGCCATTCCGACAGGGCAGGTATTAGGGTGCCACTAAATACGTATAGAATAAATTGAACGATGCCAAGCTTCAGATCAGAGGTAGACATGTTCATGTTATTGTACGATGATGCGGATAGTGAGATAACTAAAATGTGAAGTAGTTGATGCGTCGCCAATATTATTAAAAATAGTACGTATTAAAAACTGCGACTATTTTATATATGCGCCTGTTACTTCGGTAAATATTGAATGGTCATTTTCGTTTTTGAAATGGGTATTTCCCGATTGTCGGAGACGACAACTGTTAATTATTTTCTACAATCGCTTTCCTTATGTGTAAGAAATTATTATTTCGTTATATTTTGCCGATACTTATTATTACATATTATACCTATAGGTATATTTATGGTAAGTTCCATGTGAACCGTTTAGTGAAGAAAAATAGACACTACCCCTTGTTGTTTCATACAATTACGTAAACGCTTAAATGTCGTCTTTGTATCTTTAAGTGCGACATGTGTATATTTTCAGCAAAACGCGTTAAAGTTCAGAATTCGACAAATGACATTAAACCATATAATCTGGCTAAAAACAGCTATCTTATTTTATACAGAATTGTGACTGTTCCCGATAAATTTAAAAATAATTGTTTTAATTCTTAAATAAAAATGCCAAGAAACAATTTTTTAACTCCACTGCACAATTTGATACACGTTGCATTTTGAAGGCGCACCGACAGACATTAACAACTTATTAACAAAAAAATTTGGGACTAGATGTGTCTTGAAAAATGGAGTAAATATTGTAAATAAAATTTTTTGTAAAACTTTATAGTTTCCGAGAAAAAAATTATTGAAGTTGTAGTATTTTCAACCCTTACATAGCTGGGCTACTGTAGTGTCTAGCGTCATTCGCGTTGTGCTCTCTGTGTTATGCTCTCTCTCTCTCTCCACGTGGTCCCAGGCGAAAACTGAAAGCCGATTTTAGTATTAAAACGTTTTTGTGATAGTGTTTATACTAGTTTTTCTTTCAAGTTTCAAAAATGGCTTATAAGTTCTTTTCATACTTATAGTAGACATAAAAAATATCAAAGCCTGCCAATAAGTGTGATAGGGGGAGAGTGGAGCAACACAATTTTTAAATATCCGTAGAAAATAAATGTTATAACAGCTAATTTATTGCATAAATCATAATACTCTTATCAGGTACATTCACCTAGATAAATTGAATACAAAATTAATGAGAAATAGTGATATTAATCAATAATTACATATCTTGTCAGGTATTCAATTTAAATATTGCTCCGCTTTACCCTAGCTGGGCAGGATCTTGATTCGTCGACGTGGGCCCTGTGTTGCCGATTTGTAAAAATATTATCTAAATGAATAATTGCTAAATTGAGTAAAATTAATTTATTCAGATACTTACGTTTAAAATATTAAGCTATGCCCTGAAAATATAAGAATATGCTGAATTTGCATACATTTATTTAAAGAATAATTGCATTATTCACTTCATTTTTGAAATGTATGTAGTCCATTTTTAATACAATACTAACTCGCCGAAACATTTGGCAACACAGCTGGGCTGGCAAGAAAACAGATTTTGACGATCTCTCTAATACGTACGTTGTTCTCAAATTCCTAATGTGAGACAGAGACAATGAACAATTAGACACGGTGAACTTCTTACTTTAAATTTCTGATGGCTCAGTTTGCGCGGTACAGGGCAGGAGTTGGTGCTGCAATGCTGTGATTATAATTTCTTAGACTAGAGTTTTGAGTAGTGAGATTTTTGTTTTATTGAGCAACTTTTGTAATTCACTGTAATTGTTTTTAATTTATAGCCATTGTGTGTGTCAGTCTGTGAATTGTTTGAAAGGAGACTTAAATATTATATTCTGTAAAATTTGCCTAAATACGACCCTGTTCTGCTAAACAGAGAAGTATTTACGACCCCGTTTTTGTAGTTATCGGCAACATAAAAGAGTTTTTTATTTCTACAATATGTATGAAAAGAACTATACATGTATAGCAACTCGGAGTTTTAATTTATAGTGAAGCAGGGCAACATTTGTGTTATGGTGAAGCATTTGTGCTATGGGAAGCAAATTATTTTATTAATTAAAACCACAAATTCATTTTTTTAATTAATAATAATAGCGGCAGAAACAGTTGAATTTGCTTATACAAAGTGGGTGTTATAAAATTTTATTTTTTTCTTTCTTTGGNTGAATTGCTTGAAGGGAGACTTAAATATTATATTCTGTAAACTTTGCCTAAATACGACCCTGTTCTGCTAAACAGAGAAGTATTTACGATGCCGTTTTTGTAGTTATCGGCAATATAAAAGAGTTTTTTATTTCTACAATATGTATGAAAAGAACTTATACCTATAACCTCGCTTGATTAATTGCTTCATTTTAGCGTCTTAAGTCACATAAGCCGACCAATGTCCAAAGCGGAAAGTCATCTCTCAATACCGCAATCGAGAAGGGGGCCTTCGTCAGTTGTCCGCACCGATTACCTGAGCCAAGACGATGAACCGAGTCCTGCCTTTATGTATCCCCATTTACAGGTAAAATTGGACTTTTACAACCACGCAAATACTTTAATTCCAATATGTTTTCCAGATATGTGGAGTTGGTGTTTGGCCGAGATCCCTGTCGTGCCTCTCATCGAACCAGCACCTCCTGCTCAACGAGATATCCTTCGAAATCCGCGGTGGCGAGATCATGGCGATTATGGCGACGTCCGAAGAGGAGGGAACCGCGCTGTTAGACGTAGTGGCCGGCGTGAAGGCGCCAGTGATCGGGAATGTTATTTTGAACGGGCAAAACGTTAGGCCGCAGAATTTAAAATCGAGGGTGGCTTACGTGCAAAGTGACCCCCATTTGTGTAAGGACATGACGGTGATACAGACTTTAAGGTTCCACTACGATCTCAAAAATCCCACGGACAAATTGGGGTACTTGAAAATCGATGCCATGGATAGGGTGAGTTATAATAGTGAACTGATACTGATTATAGGTGTCGTTAGATGGCGCTGTTACTTTTCCTGGAATTTGTATTAAATGAATGTTCTTATGTGTTTTGTCTATGGTACACTCAAGGTTAATAGAAATATTGTATTGCCGGTCATTAGACTATTATAGGCGGTATCTGTTTTGGTTTGGGTGAATCGTATATCCACGGAGATTTTTGGCTTTTTGGCTTTCAAATATCAGTAGAAATTAAAATTTTTCTATGCGTATAAAAAAAACGTGTGTTTAACTTTTGGCGGCACAATATGTTAAAAAAATTCGAATAATGTCATATTTTTCTACCTATTTAATTATGTATCTTTTCAAGAGTTGATTTTAGGCGAAAATGGAAGAGGAAAAAAATGTTTGTAATTAAATTTTTTACAAAATATGACTAGTTACAAATCGAATGAATCATGATTATTATGGTAAAAATCGAAAAAATCGCAAAATTGGGGTTAAAAACAATACTTTTTAGGGATTTTTTTGGGGTATTTAAATTGGGTATAGGACCTTTATACTTGGCTCACGAAAACTTCATGTTATGTAGAATCTTCACACTAAATTTCATCGGTTCGATAGATTTTGCACAATAATTTTGCAATCCAGACTTTGAAAAAAAAATTGCAAATTTTCAAAATTTTGCACAGCAAAAACCAAGGCCCTTAAATACTTGAAAATTTAATCACATATAGAAGTACTCTCAAGCTTTCAAACTTTTTTTGAAAAGTTCGAATCCGTCAATTAGGAGAACTGTGGCGCTTGTTTAAACATTGGTCGAATTTTTATACTTATAAACAATTAGAACTTTGTGAATATTCAATCAAATCAAAGTTTTTAAATCAGGTTTTAAAAGTTCTTGGAAAGACGCTTCTTTAAAAAAAAACAGACCGATTGATCAATTAGTTACGTAGTTACAACCGAGCTAATTTTTCGAAAAATACCTTTGGTGTTCCGAGTATACTTACCAGGTCTAAGATTACAATACTTTTCTTCATTGATAAACTACTTTAAAACGTGTTTAAAGTTATTTATGCAAGCGAGAAATTCAAGAAATGGTGCGGGTGATTGTGGTGGGGGAAGCAGAGAGCGCGACCGCTTCGGCCTGCTCGAAATTGAATCAGCGAGTTCAAAACCGCGATGCGCTTAAAAATTTTTAATATCTCACCTTCTAGAGGTCCAATTTTGATGATTTTTTTTAATTTTAGCGTATTTTCAAATGCCTATCGTTAATAATTATTGGTCTTTCAACAGTCCGATAATTATTTATCTTTAAACTTTCTTTACTTATCAACTTTATTTTTCTATTGTATCAAAGGTAAGTGCATAAACTTATAAATAATGTTTATCAAAGATCAAAAACAAATTTATTTAAATGTTCTGAAATTGTTTAAACAACAATTATTTTCAAAATATGACGAAAATTAGTACCTAATATAATGAGTTAATTTCTCATTTGCTTATATTTTATACAATAAATAATATTTGAATTATACTTTAATCACAAAAAAAAATTAATATTAAAAAAAATAATATTTCTTTCATTTCAATATTATATTCGAAAAATACGACCTTGAAAAAAATAGATACACGTATATACCGTTAAGAAAAGAATCTCTACAACCTGTATACATATAGTGTTATTTTTTTAAAACATGACATAGGCCAACTTTTTTTATTTGAAGTAATAGACTGGTACTTCCAAATGCAAAGTTGTAGGAAATAACTTGATT